GGTTCACTGGAGTACATGGGGATATAACTTCACCCAGTATGCCATATTACCAGTCCAGCCCTGAATGCATTTCCTGGTGGACCAAGGCACTTTGGGGTTAATGGGTCGCCTGCGCACCAGCAGTACAAGCACTGACAGCAGGCCGTTCATTCAGTTTCATTACTGACACTGAATCGCCCAGGCAGATCTCTTAATTCAATTGGTCCCTCCCTTATCTTTGATGAGTGCTCATGCACTTTGTAAAAAACGTTTAGTGTGCAAGAAGCTGGAGAGCTGAGAGAAGGTGCCTGCTACACCGTGAACAGTAGTACCAGCAACAACTAGTAACCATGCCTCATTGTCACAGTAGCCTGCTGCTGCTAGCACTAGGTGTGGAGAAGTGAAGAAAAGATGGAGGAAGATGAAATTTACATGGTAAGATGATAGTAAATAATTAGGAATAAATGTTTACTTTGGCTATGAGCTACTGCTAATACCTACAGTGTAGTTCTTAATTATTGTCCCATACTGCAGTGCAAATAAAAAGTAACTGAACAACAACGGTACCGACATACTTAAAACCTGTTTCAATATCAATAGTCAAACAAATGAATATATACATAATATGTGTACATGACAGCAATAACGGTGGGACGCTTGAACCATTTGTACATCAGCATCCATCACCAGCAGACGGATGAGATGGTGAAGCCTGAGTGAAACAGAAATGCAGTATGTTCTGGATCTGAGAGCAGAGCTACACACATTAGGTAGGTTATCACGTGAAAATCTTCTCCAGGTCCAGAAAGGTTAGCAGCAACTATACAAAAGAGGGGATAAACTCAGACCATTTTCACAGGGAGATAAAGTGCCTTGTGAACCTTCATGGTTACATGGCGAAGGGAGGATGTTGGTTATGAAGGGGTGGAGCCACACAAGTATTTCACCTCAGCCTCCTTAAAACATGGAGAGAGGTGGAATCCGTTCCTCTGGTGAGCTTAGCAAAGGATTAAGATGACCTGGGGGCTGAAGTGTCAAATTCATCCTTTCTTCTTTGTGATGAACATCTAGGGCCAGTAGGCTAGACTGGATGGCTCTCCAGTGTAAACTCGGTTGATGGGGGTATGTGGTGGCTCAGCTGAAGGGGAGGGGTGGTGCAACAGGATCAGGGGTAGTGCCAGGGGAGGCTGGCCAGCGCAGTTGCCACTGATTGTCGAATCATGCCTCTACTATTTCATCAGCGCGCTGGGAAAGAGAGGAGAGTTGCACGGGAGCAATTGCAGTGAGCTGGGCAGATGAGAGAAAGAGCTAGAAATAAGCACTATAAAGATTCACAGTTAATCACTGCTATGACCAGTGTGTGTGTTGTGCTGGGTCAAACAGTAGCCAGACGTGTTACACCCCTCTTCAACAACTTGGTGCTATCTGGAAGATTTAAAAGGCATTTAGGAAGGACTCTCCAAAGGCCTGAACACCCTTCGGAGAAAACACAGGTAAGAAACACAATCGGTAAAAATTTTCACTCATTAGGGTATAAATTGTTTTTCCTGCCAATTAAGGATAAACATCACACAAATGTTAAAATAATATTTTCTGTTGGCTTAAACAAACTTACCATACTAATAAGGATTTCTGTTGCTAGATAGACCTTCACCAGTACCAGCTTTGAGACAGCCAACAAGGAAAGAACCCACGAACCAAATTATGGTTTTTGTAAAGGACTAAATATTCATGGTAATTTACATATTCACTGTTACATATTTACAAAAAAAGACAGTTGTTGGAATTAACATATTCACTTCCTTCTAGCTTGCTCTCATT